TTTCACCGAAGAATATGGCAAGAGTATTTTGGGTTGGTTTGGACGCCTGGCTTCTCTTCACATAATACAATAATGTACTTCCACTAACCCTACAAGTGCACATGACACATGAGCTTCTGAAGACAGTGACGGTACTACTACTAGTACTGATCATGTACATGTACATCATGTACATGCAGTGCACCGTTCATTCTTGCTGACAAAAAAAGTACACTACAGACGGTGTAGGGTGCCCGCAGTGTAGCCTGCCACGGGGTGCACTTGCCCCGTCTCACTCGCGGCTCGGATCTTTGTGCAAGTCATCTATTTGGAACTTCTTCTGGTATGTTTCATGCATGTTTAACGTTTGGTGCCTGGAAAAAGGAATGAAGGAAGGAAGGGTTAGGAAAAATTAGACCTTAGGGTTAGGGTTGGTGCCCGCCATAAGGTTTATATACATGTAGTTTGGCCAATTATTTCGCTCCTTTTCGAGCAGAATTTGCCAATTTTCGAGCATTATCTGCCAAGGGCTAGTGCAACTGCAGCGCTGTGTCCTGTGCATGTGTCCAAGTTCGCGACTTCGCTGAAGCATTCCAACTAGGCATACATGTATGCGGATAATGCCGGCAGAGAAATTGGCAGAATTTCTTATTCGGTACTTTTTCTGGTAAACAGTTAAGTAGTAGAGCCCACACGCTCTCTTCCATTAACACTGCAACAGTTCAACTCATTGTGAACCTGATGAAGGCAATTTGCCGAAACGTTGTAATAATATTACTGTGAAATGAGTTGAACTGTTGCAGTGTGAATGGAAGAGAGCGTGTGGGCTCTACTACTTAACTGTTTATGAAACTGCAGGAAGCCTCCCACTTTTACTTTTTCTGGTAAGTTTCATGCATGTTTGGTATGTGGATAAAGAAATGGAGCAGAATTCGAGAAATTGCCCGCCATAAGATTTGTATGGTTCTGCCAATTTCACTGCTCTTCGAGCAGAATCTGCCACCGTTTCGAGCATTATCCGCTCGATGTAGTAATCGCATAATCTCTATTTCCCCTTTCCTCCTTTGACTTTAATACCGTAATTCCGCGCATATAAGCCCATGGGCCTATATCCGGATGTAAGCTCACCTCCGTTTACATGTATAAGCCCATGGGCTAATAAACAGACACAAATGCAACTCACGTGACGTTCAAGTAGAATTTTTCACAAGATGGACTCTTCCTACCTTGGTACAGCAGGTCAGTGCAGTTTACCAGTAGAGTATGGTAGACTGACCATGAGCACGGACTTGTACTTTTTCGTGAACCTTCAAAATTCGAATACTGGCCCATGGGCTAAAAAACGAACATGTTTTACTGGATATTTTATCCCCAAACTGCATTGTTTCACATATGCCAATGGGCTTATACCGTATTATATTCTCTATTACAAGCGCCGTGCTTATATTTTTTCAACACCCCTCTACCCCGTGCTTATATTGGAGACCGTGCTTATATTGGAGACCGTGCTTACATTTTTTCAACCAATGCATCCAAACAGAGCGAGAAGAAATACATGCTAGATATCATGCATGCAGCATTGATTTCCACCAAGACCGTGCTAATAATAGAGACTGTGCTTATAATGTTTCGAAAGGTGCTCACAGTGTGCTAGTATTAGAGACTGTGCTAGTAATGGAGACCTTTGCTTATAATTGAGAATATACGGTATGCGTGGAATTACGGTATGGGGGTCGCCATGGCAAATAATAATGGAAAAACCAAGATCAATCGTGCACGCAACACAAGTAAAAGAAGAAGAAAAATGGAGCAGAGGATCAGAAGTGGCATTCTGCTGCGGCCAGCACAGCGGGTATGTCAGCCAAAGCTCGGTTAGATGTGGTACTACATGTACATATAATAGCCCTTGGCGGTCCTGGCGGATAATGCTCGAAAAAAATGGCAGATTTACAATGTACATGTATACAATCATGTAATATGCTCGAATTGAATTGGAAGAATCATGACATTTACATTTAATGTACATGTACATGACTGTACAGTGTACACACCTTAATAGGGTATTCACACGACAGGTAAATCCACGTGCACCGGAAAGTTGCTATGGTATTTTTTTACTATTTTACCTGTGAACGAGAGCCTGAAAGTGGGTGAAAAGTGAAAGCGAGCTGGGGCCCACTTTCACGATAATCGTGGCGTGCACGAGTACATTTACACCAAAAAGCGCGAAACAAGACTTGATTTTTACGCGGCTCTTTAGAGCATGATAAAATATCGTATGTGTGTTTTGAAAATTTGAAATACCCATGGCTACTGGTCGGTGAAGCATTCAAAAATGCAAACGTGCCTGTCGTCGAGTGCAGCTGTGTGAATCCACACAGTCACTTTTCTCGTATGTCACTCCCTGTAAAACGTGCAAGTGCCTGTCGTGTGAATACCCCATTATGGCAGGCACTTGCTCCATTTCATGATTTTTACACATGTACACCAACGCATATGTCCGATTGGTTTGCAGGCCTGCCTGCGAATAGGGTCCGGCGGATTCTGCCGGCAGAAAAATTGGCAGAATTCGGTACTTTTTCTGGTAAGTTTCATGCATGTTTGGTATGTGGATAAAAAAATGGAGCAGAATTCGAGTGCCCGCCATAAGGTTTGTATGGTTCTGCCAATTTCACTGCTTTTCGAGCAGAATCCGCCGGTCTCTACCTGCGAATCATGAGGTCCCTGCGAATCATGAGCAGTCACGTGCCTGCAGAGTACAATTTTCACATCAAGATTCAACTCAAAGGTTCAAAGCAGGGAGTCGTAAGAGGCTTTTACGACTCCCTGGTTCAAAGGTTCAACTTGAGTGACATAAACGGGCCCAAACAGGCTGTAAATGAGCACGTGACCGCTTACTCAACCGTGTTCGATTGGGAATAAGGGCCGAATGCTGCATCGCAGCCTTTTCGGACCAAAACCAGTCGACTCAGCGCGATCAGCGGCCAAAAGACTACAACATATGGACCAATCGCGGTCATCCGCGCTTTTATAAGAACGAAACGGCGTTTTTAGTGACTTTTTCCATACACATCCCTATCTAGTAGGGCGCAGTCACCCAGTTTCGGTGGAAGTGCGCGACTTCGATTGGGAATAAAGGAGGAAGGGAGCGTCTCAGCTTCCTCGGACCAAGACCATTAGACTCAGCACCCCGAAAACTACAACTGGTGAAATTTTGATTTTAGGGTATACTTCCCCTTTAAGGTTTTAATATGTACTTTTGATAAGAGCAAGAGTACATAAACTTTTATGTACTCTTGATAAGAGTCATACCAGGGAGTCGTCAAATACCATATGGTATTTGACGACTCCCTGAGTCATACTGTAGCTCAGTTGGTTAGAGCCAGGGAGTCGTCAAATATTGACGACTCCCTGGTTAGAGCTTTGCTCGCGAATAGCAAGGTCCCTGGTTCGAGTCCCAGCGTTGTGACTGATGATTTTTTCTTTCTTTCATATGTGGCTCAGTTGCAAGTGTTGAGTTTCGGAGAGAAAAGAGGGTACGCTTTCCAACGGCCAAAGAGAGTTGGAAAGCTTGTGTCTTTGTAACTTGAACATTTGGGGCTCATGTAAAATCGCACTGATTTTGGGATTTCCCTGCAACTTTTGCGTCAGCAAAAATGTTGTGCTTGACCGCATTCCTGTCACTTCGCAGTGGCTTTTCGTTGGTGCAGTTTGTATACCACCCTCCCACCCCTGACTTCTGGGTGTGTGTTTATCGATATAATCTTATCGGCTTTCTTATTGGCCATGTGGCTGTGGCAGTTACGACTGCATTTCTTTTTTAGTTTAAAAAACGTAGGGGTGGTGTGTGCGTCGCGGGCCTTTGTATGGTTACGTACAGCTTCAGATTGTATAGCTAGTGCCAGGGGAGTTCAATTGAATCTGCATGGGAAGAATACTACTGTATTGTGATTGAACTGAAGCTGGATGATGACCGTGTGGTGAGTGTGTGGGTTTTTTCAAGATACCGTCCTGGGGCAGGGATGTAGGTCCTTTAGCTTGGACGGGTGTTGTTACATTCATTGTAACATCTTGTCGTTTCTGTGTGCTTTGCTGTGCGACTAGCAGCAGTGTCTTGTGCTTATTTTTCTTATCTCTATGCATCCAATTATTTAAAAAAAAAAATCAGGAAGAGGATATAATATCAATAAATAAAGCCATTGCCGAGCCACCGTGCTCACAGCAGAGACTTCTGTGTGTGTTATTGTCGTGAAAGTGGACCACAAAGACCAGTAGATCTACGTGGCATGTGGCCTCTAATTTCCTAATGCACGAAACTTACCAGAATAAGAACGGTGGGTATTTTCTGCTGGCAATATTATCCGGCAAGCCAGGAAGGGCTAATTTGTCGGTTTGTGGTGGGCAAAAATCCACTCCCTGCTTCCAACACACCAAGTGTCCCTCACCACTGCAGTCTGGGTTTGTACTACTGGTATGTGGACAAAAACATAATCGTCCTGCGGAACTGTTTTGGTTTTGGAAAAAGACCATTTCCATGAACTGTACTCGAGTCGTAGATCTACGATGATAGAGGTGTAACTGACCACACATTTTTCTTTCTTTTTCGAAGTGGACACTGCATTCGCACAGCAGAAAAGCAACCAACAGAAAATCACGGACCACACTCTACTACGTAGATCGAGACTACTGTATTCCTACTTCTGTACTACTGGTATGGCACTCGACTCTCCTTTTCGGCACGAATCTATCCAGCCAAAAATGTCTCCCACCCCGGCCCGGCCCCTGTGACTCGTATGGCATATCCAGCCCAAAAGGGAGAGATCAGGGATCAAGATCCATTCAAGGAAGTCGCTCAAGCTATTATAGCGCTACCATCCTACACAATAGTACACAATGCAATAATCATATGCACGCATGACGAATGCGTACATTTTTGTACACCCGCGATTTTTTTGATATCTGCAGAGTTCGCAACACTGCATGCAAAAGTCTCTTGCTGGACACTGTCATGTAAGTTCGTTTTGTAGCTGATGCCTTCTCACTCTCATGCTCAGGCTAGCAGATCGGAGTTGTTTCTGTATGATGCCGAGAGTTTGGTATCTCGTCATCAAAGACCTGGTGTCTTCTAACGTGTGCACCTGATTTGCTCGAGGAAGGCGTGGGTAGACTCGTACGACAATACGAAACAACCACACGTGTTTTGTAATTTTCAAAACGAGTCATTTCTGTAGCAGGAGAATAGTCGGGGAAAACGAGAGCCTCCTGTTACCTTTACCAGTATTGGTTTGTGGTTTCTCTTCTGGCAAACCTGGAAGGGAGCTGGAAGGCTTCCGCTGCTGACAATCCACTTTCCTCTCCATTCGTGGCCTGGTTCGAGGTTGAGGCCGTTGCTTGGGTGCTGTGTTGTTGATTTGCCGGGTGCACCGGCTCAGTCACACGACTCACACCTTTGAGTTTGACTGGACTGCTGCTACTGACAGTAGATCTACTAGACTGTGAGGGTGAAGCTGTCACCCATCCTGGCTGTAGATCACCCTTCTGCGTCCCTTCTCACTCTCAGCTGAGCCTTCTGAAGTTGTGTGACGAAAGGTTCAGCAGGTCTACGACCGTACCCTATTTAGCTCGAATCTGTTGAGTTTATGGCACTTGCTACACGTTGTGAGCCGAGCCGCAAAGTTTGAACTGAGATCATCGACGCTTGCTGCTAGTTCGAGTAAGCCGAGCAGCCGGTCTTCAACCATCACCAAAACCTTAGCTTCGTTGCCTGGCCGGTTAGCCCACTCCCCAGCCGGTGCTGAGAGTGCCCAGTCGAGGTTTTACATCAAAGCCTAGTTGCGTGAGAGAGGGAAGAGCTGAGCTGCTTCTGCACACCTGTCGAACCCATTGAATCTCGACGAGTACCCTCCCATTGCATGCCACTACACACGGCTTAGTGAGTTACTGTGCCACCGTGTAGCCGAGCTTGAAGTGGTGCTGTTCGTATCGAGGCAGATCACATAGGACGACGCTCAGTCGAATTATTTATTCGCCTCTAGGTGGAGAGACCTGCGTTCATCTTCAGTGCTTGGACGCTGTACTAGCTGCTGTCAGTTGAACGAACTCTTTACCTGGCGGTATGGCGCAGAAATTAGCTGGCTTGAACACACACGGTCTGTGCGATTGGCTGACGAAGGTGAGACGACTAGCGAAGTAAATAATTTGGTGATAGTGAAATAATTGTATCTTTTATCACAATGTCCGTTTCGCCGCGTATGCTGCTTTCTTTAGACTAGCTCTGTCGATGATTCTTAGGTCATTCGCCTTGTTTTCAGCTCTGTGTATCACTCATTTTTCTGCCTGCAGAAAGGCATAACTGACTTCGTCTCCCACATCCAAGCATGGAATTACGATGGACAACAACTTGTGGTATGTAACACATGACTATCGCTGCCAAAATAGCGATGGTCTTTCTGTAGCTCCGGCTGTCTTTGTCTGCTGCATTTTCAGTTTTGAGTTGCGATGAGCACATAATGTGAAACAACAACGGATTCAGCCTTGACCAGTTTTGTGTGTCAGGTGGCACGAAAAGGAAGCATGCAGAGTGCAAAGGAAGGCTTTCCGTGACACGCTAGCGCTGCCTGCGCAAGTGCAGAGGCAGTGTGTCTGTCTGTGCTATGGAGTAGGGTACCGGGTGCACCTGGTGTACTTTGGTACGGAAACTGTTTATCCAAGACATAACTTAGCCACACTACTTGTAGTTACAACTGAACACTTCCTCACCACACTAGCTACGTAGCGATCTCCTATCGATCTCCTCCTAGCTATGGCTGTACATGTATAAGCAAATCTTGACTCCTGCCCTGGTTTTTGAACTCAACACCTCTGCTAATCTCCAGCCCAGGCAGTAGATGCTGAGAGCGAAGGACTTTGTTTTCTTGTTGGGGGTGCTGTGATTGACAAGATTTGCTCAGGAAGTTCTTGACAGAACAAACCTATTTTCTGACAGGTGTAGCAAGGTACACTGTTAGAGACATGCACCACTTGAACTGAGCTTGAGCCCATTTTGAAACATTTCCTTTTTCTGTGTGTGTGTGTGTAGGGGGGGGTACTGTATAATCAAGACAACTATTTCTTTCCAGTGAAATCAGAACCTATTGTCTGTTGGTCATGAAACGTCTTGAATCTTGGACGTTGGGACACTGTCCTGGTGAAAGTGGGGGCAATCCCTTTCTCCCCTAGTAATTTCCGGGCCTTTCATGATCTCTATGCTAGTCAGTTGTACTTTGGGTTAGTTACCTGTTGTTCCCCACCTGATTAGGGTTTTGACATCATTGTTACTTTTCTTCTATTGTTTCGATTGATGCTTTTTCTCCTGGTTCTGAGGGTACTGTGCTTTGTTGCAGAACCTGTTCTACCCATGTAGAAATAAATAGACTGACAGCGCATGTATACAAAAAGCATGCAAGCACAGGGAAATGACAAAGGATTTAGAAACTGCCAGATATGTTTGGCTGAGACCCTCTTTTGCAGCCTCACAGGACGGAACATGCACACACACACACACACACACACACACACACACACACACACACACACACACACACACACACACACACCACACCACACCACACCACACCTCACCTCACCTCAGACATGCCCATTGGGGAAGCTATGATAGCGAACAGCTACGTTAGACATAGCAACTTGTGCTGGGATTACACCATTCAACAGCTTGCAAGGCTGATGAATTGACCGCCACTATTTTTTAGCCTGGTATCCACCACACAGCTGATTGAAGTGGCTTTTTCTGGCCAGTGAATCCTTATTTTCCACACACACACATGCACACACACACACACACACACACACACACACCACCACCACCACCACCACCACCACCACCACCACCACCACCACCACCGCACACACACCACGCACACACGCACATGCACAGAGAAAGACAGAGATAAAGACAGAGACAAAGACAGAGAGACAGACAGAGAAAGAGAGGTACACATGCATGCTAGTTTCGGTTCATCCAGCTCCACGTTTATATCTAAACGTTGCTGTTATAACTTATTGTTCTGATGTTTATTTGCCATTTGCTGTGCTGCATAGGCTTTGACAGAAGAACAAATTGTTGGTCTTGAGATATGCGAAGCAAGCAGAAAGTAAGTGCATGTTTTTCGTGCAGAAGCTGTGCGTGTTGTGCGAAAAAGTTGAAATTTTCATTTTGAAAACGGCAAAAGAACTACCTTGCAATGAAGGTCGGCGCCCAACTCATGCCGTGTGCATGCTGTGTACGTCATACGTCATGCATTCTGGACCAGTTGCGGTCACCGAAACATTCCGTTTGGACCAGACCAGCTGCAGAGCTGCACATACTGGCTTGTGTACTGTTGGACGACTGTGTAGCTATCAATCATGCACGGGGTGCATGCAGTTCATACATCCCACAGGCTTGTCACGTGCTGTGGAATCTTGCCATCGTAGACGCCTTATATAGTCGTGTGCAGACATATGCTTTTGGGGTCCTGTGCTCTTGATACTACTGTACATCATGTTCAGTGCACTGGGTTTAGTGGGTGTCCATTGGGGGAAGAATACAGTCTATTTTTTGATGGAACAGGTTTGATTTGCTTTTAATTCATGAACATTTCCTTAAAAGGTGTGCAAGCTCCACTGTAGCCACTTCATAACGTGGAAACCCTACACACACCATCCTCAAAACAAGTGGTCTCTTCGCTGCAAATTACTAATTTCTCAATCAAATTTCGGCCAGAAGCCATCATCAGCTGTAGCCTGTAGGGTTTCCATTTTAATTCATGGAATCAAATCAACTGTAGTATGTGTCTTGCTTGGCTGCTGATGTTACAGAAAATTGCTCAAGGCAATATACCCAAACTCAAAGGCAATGAGCGACAAATCGGGCCTCCTTTCTCGTTTTCGGTAAGTGAAACATGCCGGGGAAAGCAAAAAAATCACGCTATTCGTGCCCGTAGTTCTATATCGGGTGTGCGCGTGGGCTTCGTGTTTATTTTGCTGCACGTGATAGATGATAGTTCCATGCAGAGTGTGCGTGTTGGTTCTGTGTTCGTGTTGTTGTGTGCGCCTGTGTTCAGGCATGCGTCCACACTGATTTTTACATGGATATTGGGCATGTTACTGTATTTATTGACTGGTATCTATTTCTACTGTGCTATGCAGGAAAAAGTCTGATGGACCAGCAGGACATAGTAAGTTGTAATAGTCACACACTCTCTCTCTCTCTCTCTCTCTCAACTACCCCCGCACACAACCTCGTGGCAGACCAGCCAACACACACGGCTCTGGGTTGTAATGAATAGTTACGATAAAGGCTTAGAGTAAAGAGCAAAAAACCGCCAACCGGCAACACCTCGATCAAACCATCAAGAACCTCATGTCTCTCCCAACTGCAACTACTAGAACCACTTGTCCACTTGTCACGCATGCAAGCTTAGCATTGTCAACATCATTGGCGCGCGCGCGAGCGCGCGCATGGTAAACCGTATTTGGCGCGCAATAACGTCATGCTAGGAAGTAATGAACTAATGATCATTCATGACACAGACAAGCAGACAAGTAAACATGCATGAGAATGTCCACAATGCACACAGCGAGGAACAACAGCACACAGCAAGGAACAACAGCACACATCACACTGAGATGTCACCTCAGGACAGTCATATTGATTATTACAAAGTCACTAGGTGTCAGTAGTGCAGTGGAATCTCCATTCGAAGAAATTGTTCTAGCTCAGCAGGGTTTCGATCCTGGTAGTGGTGTGTGTGTGTGTGTGTGTGTGTGTGTGTGTGTGTGTGTGTGTGTGTGTGTGTGTGTGTGTGTGTGTGTGTGTGTGCATGTTCGTGTGTATGTGTGTGTGCGCACGCATGCACGTGACATGCACATGTGCGTGTATCTGTCTATGTA